GAAAGAGTGTGGAACTGAAGTGCAGCCAGGATGAAACGTTGTTGTGATTAAAGCCCAGTTTCTTGCGGCCCTCTGAACAAAAATGAGGGTCCAAAATGAGACCCTTTGAGCTCTCCTGGACCCTAGCAGGCTGTGACCAGTGGGGCCTGTCACAGCTGGGAGCTCTCAAGTTTGCTGTACTCAGAGAATCCCCAAAGAAGAACCCATCAAGGGCCAATCCCCCCACTCCTTGAGGCTCAAGCCTTGACCTGGTGATGAGAGGTAAAGGCATCCAAAGGGAATATTTCACTGCCTTTGAAGGGAATTTTTCACAGGTCCCTTGCACTGACTCTTTCTGTCTGTGTGCATACACATGTAATTATGCTTTGGCTAATATGGGAAGAATGCTGCTCTCTTAGGTGTTTAAGTATCTTAGATATTTAAGTAAGTTAGGCCTATAAATAAGTTTAATATAAGGCTAAAAGCCAAGTGAAATGCTGTTAAGTGATATTCCTTTGCTAAATTGTTTAGTTTAAGATGTAAGTTAAGGTTTCTTGATTTCTGTTAAGCTTTGAGGCCGTATTCCTTTTTATCTTTTCCCTTTCTGTCATTCTGTCACACGTACCTAAACACGCATGCACACACACACACACAGACAGTCCTTGGTTCATTTCTGTTTTGATTGATGTTTTTTTTTTTCAGGTTTTTTATCTCTTGATGTGCCTTTACTATCTAGTAAGTAGCAGAGTGAATCTTGCCAACAAAACTCATCATGCACATGCTTAGTATTAAATATGTTTTTTAGTGACACACTTGCCAGTGATTTTTGAAGTGATCTCAAACACTAATTTGTAACAAGGCTGTAGCTGTTTCTTCTGCCTGAAGGGGAGATGTTGATGTTGGGCTTTCTCTGGACACGTGGGTCTAACAGGCTCTAACTCCCATTCCTGCTCCAGCAGAAGGGAACAGGTGCTCATCACTTTTTTCATGTCTCTGTGACTTCCAGGAGTGTTGGAGCTCTGCCTTGCTTTCAGATGTGTCCCCAGCCCCTTTTTTGTCTGTGCTCAGGGGAATGCTGTCTCCAGAAAATCTTGAGCATTAGCTGCTCCCTCATCTGAGGGAGGCATCAGATGTTTGGACTCCACCCCTGGCAGATTATTTTCCTCCTGGGAGAAGAGCAGACCAAGCAAACCCTGCCAAGAATGGATGGAAAATGCACCATTGGCACAAGGCATAGTGTAAGATGTCCCTGTATGCCTGAGCTGGTGACAGAAATGAACAAATCAGTTCTGCTCTGTTCATGTTGGAATTATTTCATGTTCAGAGAATGGGCTGTGGTTTGTTGTGCTTGGGCAAGTGCCATGACCAAACCCAGCTGCTCCTTCATTCCTGCTCCACAATAGGCCAGTGGTGGAATAGAAGGTGTTACTGTCATGGAGAAAACAGACTCAAGTTGAGAATAATGAATTTTGTTTATTAGCTATTGATATTGGAGTAGCATAATGTGGAACACAGACAAAATTAGAACCCTTTGCCTTCCCCTCTTCATCTTCACAAATCAGAATTCACTCTTTTTTTTCCAGGCTTTTCCACCTCCTCTGCCACAGTGGCATGGAGAGATGGGCAATGAGGGTTACAGTCAGTCCATAACAAGTTGTCTCTTCCAGTCCATCCTTTTCAGGCTCTCTTCCCTGCTCAAGTGTGGATCCCATCCATGGGCTGCAATCCTTCAGGATCAGGCAGCTCCGCCATGGGGTCTCCATAGGCTTCAGTCTTTCAAGTTGTACCCACCCCACCCAGTGTTACAAGTGATAATATTGCAAAAAACAGAGACACAGCAGAAAGAAATGTAAATCCCAAACACAAATGAACCTTAGGCTGAGTTCAGTCATTTTTCAATCAGCAAATGCCAAAGCATTTGAGGAAGGTTTGCAGTACTGTTATTGCCTATTAGCATCCAGCTGATGTACCAGGTCTAAATGAAATTGTTATTGACAAGAATTAAGTCAAAGAATTACCTGAATGAATTATCTAAATTACCTAAATGAACCGTTCAAAATAATCTAGGTCCTACTGATTTGGTTCAAAGAACTTGAAAAATTTTTTCTTAACTTCAGCGGTAAAGAGAGAATATCTGCATCATCTACCTGGAGATTTCCATTAGATATGAATTGACTTATGTCTTCTAATGAAATAGCAATATTTTTCCGGGGCTCCAGCTTTTATTAGAGTTCCTACCTCATGCAAACCTTGCACTTGACACAGGATAGAATCCTTATGAGTGCCTGTTCCAGCTTAGGATTGCTAAAAATCAGAATAAGGGAATGAACTCCTGGAAAAGCATACAGGAACACAAAAATTAGAAAAGCCACGTGATTTTCCTTCTTCCTTGCATAAATCAGTGTCAAAATAAAAAAT